AACCCTAAAGGCCAGTGTTATATATTTAGTTAAGATGATAACTTACAATATTCCAAATGTTTCAAACAATGTTTAAATCACGAGAAAATTGAGATTTTAACTAAGGAAACGGGGCGTGTGAGCAGGGGTGAGCTGGGAGTCGCGAGTCAATCGCATCATATCCGCTTACCTCGGTTTCCGCTCGTACAACGTGTAGTCCTAAACAAATGCGGTAGTTGTAGTTGTGTGTTAGCAAAATGCGCGAAATGAAACTCGCACTTTCCAGTAAAACATCTATCGGGACCAGTTACCACCAGTATAATATGGGTGTGATGGCACTCATTAGGCGCTCATATACTTTTAAAAGACAATGATTATCTAGTCTCCCAGTCAGTTTATTTACAGTTCTGCAATAAAGCAAGATGGAAAGCAATCTATTGACATTGACTATATTGCATTTAAAATGTTGATTGGCTGAACATACTGGTCAATATGGATGTACATCCCTCAGTAACCATCAAGTATCAATTATTGCTTTTATCATTTAAAACACAGTAACATGCAATGGCAAGCCATTTAGCTTTTATTAATTCACTCACACAATGCATTTTTGATAACTAAATGTGTACTATTTTAAAATGTGAATTATTGATATTAATATAAAAGATGTCTATTTCTGATATCAGGAATTACATTTTCATTAGTAGGCCAACTAACTAAACAAGGGAGGATTGTAGGAGAACGGGGGTGTCAGGTGTGGCAATGGCAAATGTGTCAGGTAGGAGGGCCCCTTAACAGATTTTTGCTTAGAGCCCCAAGGAGGTCAGGATCGGCTTTGCCAGTGACACCGGAGCAGATGCATTTTGACAGGGAGAGAACAACTTTTATAGAAAAGTACTTAATGACAGTAATTGTTCCTTGGAGAGGCATTATAGGTAGTTTGCATCAATATCCACGCAGATAGCATTCATTAAAAACACAATATGTGGTCTTGACTGTGCATGACCAAAAAGATACTCCATTTTTCAGGGACAGAATCTAATACTCGTTATTTTAGATGCAAATTATTGAACCGTGCAAGTGCTCTGAGGGTCACTTGTGTTTTGCAGAGCAGAGGATAAAAAATGACCTTGTTAGGAGTAAAGACCAGTACTGATTTTAATTTAAATAGTGTTTTTTTCTTCCCTTTAGCAATCCACACAGAAAGGGTAAAGTAGTGCATGATGGGAATACAAATAAATATTGCAGGGAAACAGCGTTGGCTCTGAAAACCTAAATGCCCTCCTATAACAGATGTTGGCACATATGTTAGAACACAGACAGTCAAGCTAATGACCTTGAGGAGGACCATCTCAAATGTGCACCTCTTCACAACACTCATCAGTTTGTGTTATCTCGTGAGAGCCCAAAGTGTTGAGCCTATACATTTCATGCCTATTTATTATCTTTAGAGTCAGGATCGTAACATGGCTAATTTATCATTTGAAGTATAGGAGATGTTTACTAGGACAGATTCAGCTAGCGATCACAGCAGATGCATGCAATGTTGACAATTTAACAACGAGCTACCATTATCAAACCCTCAAGGTCACGTAGGAGAAACTTCACCTAAAATGTGGAGCTTGCAGGAATCCAAACACTGCCAGTAGCATAGACTTACATTTAGGGCTGAACGATTTTGGAAAATAATCTAATTGCGATTTTTTTAACCAATATTGCGATTGCGATTTAATATGCGATTTAAAAAAAAGTTATTTACCATCTGTATTAGTCAACAAAGACAAGCAATAAATCATTGTACAGTAGGGATGGGAATCTTTAGATAGCTCATGATCCAATCTACTTTTTTTCTTATTAATTAATCTTAATAACTCTTAAAATATGTATTTAATTACATGTGTAAAAACACATACTTTAAAAAATAAATATAAAAAAAACATTTAATAAATAGGCTATATAAAATAATATAGCTTCAAAATATAAAAGCTAGTAAATAAAGAGAAACAAAAAAAAAACATTACAAGCAAGTATTTAAAAGTAGGCTGTCTGAATGTTTTTCATTCAAGAGCTGGAGTGATTTCCCCTCAGTTTAGATACGATAAGCTGCATTCACACTAATGCATATATCTCTTTTGAAATTGTAAATGTGGTTTGTCCTGTTGGTTTAAGATATAACTGACCGTGTTTACATCAATTTCGCGTCATAAAAGCATTTTGACATGCAAGTACATTTACGGCCGCATGCACGAGCGCTCTTCACAAAGCACGCGTTAGTATTTTAAAATGAAAGCAGCCTTCTCAGTGATTTTCATGGTTTTAATATAAGCCAACTGCATTCCAAAATACATAAATAATGCCTCTGTGAAGCATTTGTTAAGAAAATTCCCGCGGGAGAGAATGCGCACTGCAAGTGTAAACGTTATAACATCAAGCAAAGCGGCAAAACCTGTTCAATGAAGCCCGCGAATGTCCTTGTAATTCGGTTTATTCCCGAACTTTATGAAATAACGTTACTATGTTTTGTAAGGTTCGAGCGGTGTCGTGTGTGTGAGTGAGGAAGAGAGAGAGCGAGAAAATAGAAGCAAGCAGATTCAGAACACGGTTCGTTTCTAAAGCACGCGCAGCGTCATCACGCATCTGTGTTTAAACTAAGCTCAGACTCGATTCTGAAATTCTCTGAATCGATCCAGGATTGTTGAGGAGAGGAGAGAATAAATAACACAATAAACTGTTCTTTTCTGGACGCCAGACCGCGTAGCGTGGCAAGTTGACGCTTTATCTTGCAGACTGCTTTTCTCTCGCGTGTCACGTGACCCAGTGTAATCGCAGCTCTTGCGATTACAAAATCGCGTTTCATCATATCGCGATTTTATCGCAAATGCAATTAATCGTTCAGCCCTACTTACATTGCAACGACTTTCAAATTAAGTGACATTCTGATCACACAATTATTTTGCAGGCAAAAAGTAAATCATCATGCAAACCCTGTACTGTACGTCCAGCAAGCAGTAGGGCTTTACACATGGCTGTTGAAACATTTATTAAATTAAATAAAGTTGTAATCCATAGTGCTCCATTTATTATTTATAGAAACTAGTGTGCGGTATACTGAGTACAAATGAAATAGTGATCCTATTTACTTCTAAGTATTCTGACTGTTCTAAACATGGCCAAGGGAACCATCCGGTCGCAATATGAAATGTAACATATTCTACTGCCAACGCATTCTCACCCCAAGGCGTCACCTTTGACCATGCTTCAATATTTGACGTTTTAGGCGCCCTTTACTTACATGACGCGATCCTACGGCGTCATCTAACTGACGCTAAAGGAAAGCGTCAGTTAGAGGACGCGGTTAGGTTTAGGTGTGGGGTGGGGGTAGGGTACACGCGATCCTAGGGCGTCATCTAACTGACGCTAAAGAGCGCCTAAAGCGTCAGATATTGAAGCATGTCCAAATGCTTCCCAAGGCGTCAGTTAGGTGACGCCTTGGGGGTGAGAATGGGCTGCTACTGCATACAAACAGTAGCCTATACTGCAATCAATGCATACTAGTACAGTATCATGATACATACCTATGCTTGATGTGAAGTGAAGTCATCATTTAAAATGATCATCATCAAGAAGCAAGATCATACTGATGCAAAATCCTTCAATACTGTATTCAACTCTGGATTGATTTGTGTTCTGTGAATTTTGTATTTGATGACAATGCCTGGTCTCGCTTTGAGGTTCTATCATTTAATTTATCATGCTAAAGGGCTCTTAATGCCTCTCGACAACCCTGTCATGAACTATGCTAAACGCGGTCACTGGCCCGCTCCACTATCAGGCACGTGTTGGGGAAACAGGAACTCGCATGTGACAGAGTGTGTCTGATGTCAGATTGGCTGCCATGTCGCATTAGGCCTTGACTGTTATGAGTGGGCAAATAACAGACTGAACACTTTTTGTCTTCACACAGGCATTTTAGTCTCAGCTAAGACGTAAGAGACACTTTTGCTTCGCAAGTTTGCTTAATCAATGGTTATGCAACTAATTATGTCAAAAAGGGGTTTAGAATTATTTAAAGGGTTTTGTTCACGCAAAAATTAACATATTCACCCTCAAGTTGTTCCAAACCTGTAATGAATTTATTTTATTTTCTACTGAATTTAAATGGTGTATACAGTTATTATTTATAAAGGGATGCCTTTATAAATAATAAATGTTACATATTCTGTATGGGTAGGTGGGTCTCCTCATTATTTAGACTTACTTGTTTGAAGCACAACGTCATTCATTCTATAACCTCATCTCTCAACCATCGCTGTTTTCTCCACACAAACACAAAGCCTTTCTTAGGATGAACGAGGCTTGACAGTCAAAATGCTCGCAATATCTTGAACGTTATTGCCCCCTTCCGATTCAAATCAGAATAACACATCTTTTTATCTTAATTTATATATATATATATATATGCTTAATTGCAATTTTTTCTATATTTTCAATTTTAGTTTTTCTGTTATGCGCGTTTGCCATTTTTATTTATTATTTTATTGTATTTTTATATAGCTTTATTTTGAATTCAGTTTTAATTTGTATTACTTTTATTTCAAAAGTATTTTATTTTATTATTATTTCAGTTAGTTTTTAAAATGTAAGTTTTTCATTTAATATGAATCATTTATTTCAATTACTGAAAATTATTTTTAATTGTTTTAGTTAACAATAACAACACTGATTATTTATATTGCTTTTTATTATGAGAGGGAATGGAAACAGATGATTGAACTCAAACATAGGTAAATAACTGTACAAATATGGGATTAAGTATCAGTGTTCCTAGAAGTCAAAGAATCCATTGAAATTTTAAAATGATGTTAATTACTCTCCATTTTTTTTTATATATAATGCAAATGTAAACTTTTATGCATCCTTTCATTCGAAAGATTCCTTTACTTTTTTTTGCTCTTTTTTTGTTTGTTTTAGAGGTTTACGCCTGTGAAAGAAAACACAAAAACTGAACAAATACATAAATATTCAGCCATGCATAATGAAGAGCTTTAATAATGTAATAATGTTTCAATGTTTTTCACCTTGAACGCTTTATGTACAGCAAGTGCTTTATCTGTAAAAGTGCTGCAATGGCAAATATATGACACGCTGTACACATTAAAAATCATGTGGAAACACAATTCAAACAATAGCTATTAAAAAGAAGCTGCTTAACACTGCCAGATAGCATAGACATTCATTGCAACGACTTTGAAATTAAGTGACATTCTGATAACACAATTATTTTGCAGGCAAAAAGTAAATCATCATGCAAACCCTGTGACCTCGTGGTAATGGACTAACTTAAAAGAGAAACATGCATTTGTGTTGTGACACAACTGTAAAAAAGTTCAATAAATGCAGAAGAGATCAAATAAAAGCCTGGAATACTCACACTAATCTTTAGAACTATACATGAATTATTCTAATGAGTGTCACTCACAATGGTAACACAATAGAGGCACGACTTGTGCAAAAGAAAACAAGACTGTTCTACTAACTGTTCTAAACGTCACTTATTGCTTTGGTGCTAGAACAGAACAATGGAACATTCCACATTTGTTTACATCAACACTAATACATTTGTGAAACAATCATGTGCTCTGCATGATAACATTCACAAAACACACATTATCCTACCATATTTGGCAAGTAAATATTCAATTTTAAGCTCTGCTTCTTGGCAACAAATAGTCGGCTATGTAAGTATTTGATAGAAGAATTCAGAATATGACATGATGAAGGTTATGAACTTATGATTATCTGTTAATGCGGCAAGCAGAAACCATTTCCGTTTAATGGATTTTTCCGGGTTCAGTGCAAGTTAGTTAATTAACAGCATGTTGATTAGCACAAAAAATAATGTTGACTCTTCCATTTGTTTTCTATTTAAAAGAAAATGAGGCTAACAATATTATAAAACCACTTAAAGTTAAAGTTGTCAAGCTATTTAAATCATTGTATTAACCGATGTTCTAAAATTTGAAACACAGAAAAGAATAATAAGTGTTTTGTTTTTTTTTTACACTAAAATCATGTTAACGTATATTGTTTACATCTTGTGCTACACTTTACAAATTGGTTCCATTCATTTCATTGTAAGGGGCCGTTCACACAAAACGCCTATTTTCCATTATTTTTCATTTTAAACACACGCTAGACGGATATCTTTAACTGTTGCGCTCATGTCTCGCGTCTTTTGCAACGTCTCACACATGACACGGCATTCCTCGTGTTTTTAACAGCAAAATCTGTGTGAACCTCACTGTAAAAGCAGATTTTACTTTTTTTTTTTAAAGAAAAGCAGAGAGAGGTTAATATTATTTTTTGGTAATCAACATTATAGCATAAGTGCTGTTGATTGAGCTGAATTTGCACTGAACCTTCGATATTCCTTTAACCGATTCACAATAAGTAAAGAAAGGTTATCCGTCATATATGAGCTGAAAAAGTATGATACTGACTACAAACAAGGGCGACCTGTTTCTAAGTGTGCCTGGTATCAGTGCAGCCTTCTGCGGTGGATGTGGGTCGAAACTCTCGCATGCCTGAAGCTCACTGTCTTACCTAATATGTACCAACAGCTCGACCTACTGGTGGATAGGGAGCCCTGTCCAATCTCCCTCCGATCCACATTCAGATGCTGACTTCAGCATACAGTAGCTGTAAATATCACAATCGTTGTGAGGTGCACTGTTGCCATGCGCACATACAATCAACATGGTCTTCAGCAGTGCTGGTGATCTTCAGTTGTTTCTGGTTAGATAGGCTGAAGGAGACATTGGTGAGAGAATGTGTGAGAAGAAGACCAGCTGAGCAGTTGGCAGTAATGAGACATGGGCTTTAAGGATGAGAAGGTGAAGTGTCACTAGATTTGAGATGAGTGAGAAGCTACAGGTTGACCAGGTGAAGGTCCGAGGCCGTGAAGTGAGGACACAGTGCCATGTCAGGGTTCTTCAGCTGCTTCAGGATGCGCTTGTAGAACTTGGTGCGCACGCGGTTAAACTCCATGATGTCACAAGGGTCTTCCTCGATCCAGAACCTGTGGAACTCCTGCATCAGATAACCTAAGAAAAACAAATAATACATTTACATATATATATTATATATATATATATATATATAATAAAATGTATATTCATGTCCCAGTTATACCTACACTTACTGTTTTCAATAATAAGTACGAAGCCCTTAAAGGGACATTTGCAAAAATAAAAATGTACAGACTTTCACGCGCTCAAAAGAAACTATCTCTAAATTTCTTGTGAGCATGTGAAAGTGTGTCAAAGTCCATTCATTAATGTTTATTTAAAAAACATTATATGCGTGTGGTACTTAAGCGTGCACACCTCTGGTCGCAGTTTCGCTTGTCGCCAGAGGGGGCATAGTTCTGCAAAAACTCAGAGACTTGCGCAATGCACCTTTAATGTAAATTTTGCTTTTATATTTTGCTTTTAATATAATGTAATATGGTCAGGAAAAGCAAGAATTGTAGAAACCGTAGAAATACAGTTACTGTAGAAACTTGCAGACAGCTTTTTATAGGGGAGAGAGTCAGTGTTGTTCCACTCAATTTTAATGGTTTCCAGTAGTGTTTTAATTACATAATAATTAGGGCATTTCATTTTATGTAATTTAATGAATGATAAAAAATATATGAAGAGTTCAGATGCAAAAGCCTCTAAGTGCCATTTGAAATTTTCTTCTAGAATGATCATTTTTATCAAGCTTGTATATTTAAGTTCAGTAATTTCACTTAAATGACAATTAATAGATAAAAAATTATCATTCTATAAGAAAATTTCAAAATGGCACTTAGAGGCTTTTGCATCTGAACTCTTCATATATATATGATGTATATGATATATAATTTATATCATGCTAAATATTAAATGTAAACATTTTTATTTGGTTATTTTTACTCATTTACAAATGTTATAATTGAATGGCCATAAATGATGTATATAGTTTAAATGATATTTAATTTTACTTCAAGAGTTGTTTTCACAACGAGAACAATGGCAACATTATGATACCACTCACAGAAGGTCTGTTGGAAGTTCACTAGACTTGGCATCTCTGGTGCCACATTGTACAGATGAGTCTTCAGAGCCCCGCTCACCAGCAGGGAATACGCCAGGTCTGTGATGTTTATGCCCAACTATGGCAAAGGAGTATCTGCAACCACAAAAGATTTGGTCAGCAACAAAACACATTGTAAAGAAATCCTTGTTTAGTGTAAATACACATTATAAAATGTTAAGACACTGCCAAGTGTTTGCCTGTGTGATTACATGTTTCTGTGTGCACATGTCACCGCACCGTGATTTAACAGCCTCCACGCTA